TATATTAATTAAATTGAAAATTTAGAAATATAGAATATTGGTCTTGACTGAATTCAAAATTTTAGAAATTATAGCAAAAGTTGGGAGATTTTTTCACTAGAAACATGGAGAGAGTTTTAAGGGGTGCCTGTTTGAAGTAGGATTATTGACTACTTGTTGGCTCTTCAATTATAGTTGATATGGTCCAGATTACACTTAGGGCTCGTTTGGGAGTGATTTTGGATACGCCAATAATTTCTTCTCCATTTAATCACTTTCTGTGATTTTAGGTGGTTTTATGGAGAAGCACATGGGAGGTGCTTCTCCCCAGGATCGCTTAAAATCGCTTAAAGTGATTATATAGAGAAGCATGTGGGTGGTGCTTCTCCCCAAAAGTGATTTCGGCCATCCGAGAATCACTCCCAAACAAGCCCTTATTGTAGTACAACTATGTAGTGCACTCTGCACAGTTGTATGTATATTGCTAAGTTTGCTTGTTACCTTTTGGGAATAATAGTAATACCATTGAATCATCTTTAATTTTTTCGATTTAATTGTTACAGATTGCTATGTGGTTGATATTATGGTGGAAGCCTATACCAGTTTTGCTCATCTTATCTAAGATGTTCTTTGCAGGTATTTATTTTCTAAGCACATATAGTTTTGAAGATTGTTTGTTTATCTCAATTATCTGTTATTCTAAGACATATGTTCCTGCAGGTGTGTCCTTATTTGCAGCCGTTGGGTTTCTTCTATATGGCGGAAGGTAATCACTCTGCATTTGGTTGCCTGCTGCATTGTCTGACATATCTACCCTTGCAAAGTTGCATTGTGGCGTGTAAAAAGAAACTCTTACAAAAGCACAAATTGGAATTTAGTTGCCTTCACATAAGTTTACTGGTTGAATCAAATTATACTGTGTTTGGTTCTAAATGATAAACATCAGACATTAGAAGCTCTAAGACAAGAGGAGACTGGACGAAGTTCAATCGGCATAACACTCTTGTCCACGTCTCCAGCCCAGAAGAGCAAATAATTGAAACAAATGAACACAATAGAGAGTCTTCTTGAAAAATTGTAGTTTCTTTGATGCATGATATTTAATTATGTGTAACTATGTATCGTGCCTCTTGTTTTACTTATGTGTAGCTGTCACTGAATTTTGGGTGTAGTTGAACAAATGGTTCTTATTCTCTCTCTCTCTCGCTCTCTCTCCCCTCAAATACTGTTAAGATAAGTAGGTCTCTCATGGTGCTTATGAGTGACAGATGTTTAATTTTTATGGGTACCTGTAAGATGGGTAGAGTGCTGAGATGCCTGTTTCACCTTCTCCCTTTCTGTAATGGAATGTCATTACCTTTCTGAAGTTATGCATGCATGTGTGCTACAGCTAGTCTCACTATGTGAAAATCATGCATAAAGTATGAATTCTGTAGCAGTAAGCATGGCTGTGGCATGTGTGCTTCCCAGAGAATTTTTTTGGAAATATAACACCTTTCCACTGGTTATTTGGTGTGTATGTTATATTTCTGATTGCAACATATCTCCTGCCAAATAATATGATACTTCTTTTTACAAGCTTGACATGTATGTATAAATGTAATTTTGACATAAAACTTACTTTATGGGCAATCTTCTAAGGTAGTCTCTGCTGTTGTTTCTGGCAGACTCTTCTTGATGTTGCAGCGATTTCCTGTAGAATCAAAAGGACGACGTAAGAAGCTGCAGGAGGTAAACACTTAAAAAAAAAATTCTTAAGCACCCATGAGTTTTCATCTTTAGATGTACTTATTTTTCCTTTTTTGTGTTTTTGGCGTTGACAGGTTGGCTATGTGACAACCATATGTTTTACATGTTTCCTTGTCAGATGCATAATGGTGAGTCTTCTTGATTGTTTTTGGAGTAAGCCTACTACTAGTACTACTTGAACTTGAGGAAGTAGGTCAAAGTTTTAAACAATCAAAACCACATGGATAGACTGTTTTAGTTTTCCATATAATATGTGTGTCAAGCATACAACCATATAATTTACATTGGATGTTGTACCAACTGTCATCAAATTTGCTAAGGCTGTTCATTTTGCTCAACGAATGGTAATAGCTGAATTGTCGCACCTGATTTATTAATTCCTCACTTAAGCTTCTATGGTTCTTATATTGTGCTACAGATGTGCTTCAATGCATTTGATAAAGCAGCAGATCTTGATGTTTTGAATCACCCAATTCTAAACTTTATATATTACCTGGTAAGCATTTGGTTTATATTTTTTGCTTGGCTAATGTAAGTTTATTGGTTCATTAAGCAGCCTCATTGGAGTTTGAAGTTTGGTCGTTGAAATTTTCCTTCCCCATTTCTTGTAGTTGGTGGAGATATTGCCTTCTTCTTTGGTCCTTTTCATTTTGAGGAAGTTGCCTCCAAAGCGCGGGATCACACAATATCACCCTATTCGCTGAGGATGGAGAACATTTGATGAAAGAAAACCAAGAATGGTCTTACAAATACATGAAGTTTGAGATGCTTATCTACTCTCCATGGAAAACGAAATGTTGGTTAGAGAGGGAAAAGTTGACCATTGTGTGCTTTGAGGAACAGCTTTATTGGATTCTGAGTGTTTGTTCTCAGCAGGGGGTGGTAGATTTGTTGAAAAGAAATGACCTTTTAAGGATTGTCAAATGTGTTGGTGTGGTCTTTTATTTTGAGTGTGTTGAATCATACGACTGGTGCTTTGTTGTTTTAACAGTCTTGAGCATTCCATGAATAGGAAAAGGGGACCCCCAAAAATGTGATTTCTGTATGATTTCTATCACGTACTCTGGGTGGGTATTTTGGGGAAATTGTGTGAAGAAAACTTGCACTCTTTGATAGTTTTGTCTTCAATACGGTATTTACATGTGATTGCAGTCATCTGTTGTACAATAAAACTGACTATCTTGTGAATTGTGGTGTTGTGTCTGATATATAGTCCATGCCTTGCCAAATATCATTTCATTTCATGTCATGTCATGTATGAACAATGCTATATATTCATGTAGTAAACTGCAGAAATTAGGAATCAGTTATGTAAAATTTGCTGGAAATAACTTGATCTGGGAAATTGCTCTGTGATAGTTTTGTTTACAACATGGTGTGTACCTGTTCCGAGACTCTGCCTGCTTCTCTTCATGGCTGAAACTTGCGGTCGTCTTCAACGCCATCTAGATTCCGGCCTTTTAGCAGGGAGGTTTGCACCCGGAAGTTAGAACTCTTAGGTGATGAGATAAGTTTACCATCTGGTTGAAGAAGAATGGAAATGAAAGTGTTAAGAAAGTGGATTGGATTCAATTGATTAGGGTGGTTCAGATGGTTGATTATATGTGATGGAAGCCATTGATTTCACCCTCCTTCCCTCTACTGGTCGTCTGTGTCAACCGCCATATTGAATGGTAGGTTTTACCGCTCATTTTTCAAGTGGGTTTTGAATGGTAGGTAATGTCCATCTCCAACGTAAGAAAAATAGGGATTAATGAAACTCGTGCGTGGTTCTACAGCTTGGATTACTTGCGAAATTAGTTTAAGTTACTACTCACTTGTTCGGGTGTACATAAACACTTGTGGTTTGCTTATAATTAGTATGTAAGTATGGCCTTGATCTCTGCATGATAACAGATGATTTTCTTTGTTTTCCCCCCAAAACTACTTCTAAAAAACAAAGTTGGTTAACTTAGAAGATTACTTGTGTCTTTTTGGACTGAGTTGAGTTAGGAGATTGTTGAAACTCTAAACTCGGATTAACTTGTGAATAAGTTAAGTTAATTGGGTCTGCTGTTCTTTCTTTCTTTCTAAATGTTTTTTTTTTACCATCTTATATTTTTGGGTTTTTAGGTTTAACGGTCGTTGGATTTTGACCTGATTCATAATTTAATCCCTCAATTTTTAAAATGATTCCCGTGATCCTTCAACTTCACTTTCAATTGCATTATTAGTCCTACTGTCAGTTATGATCTTTTTCGTTAAAATGATTCCCATGACTAATAATGCAATCAAAAGTGAAGTTGAAGGACTATAGGAATCATTTAAAAAATTAAAAGACCAAAATGCAAATTAAATCAAAATTTAATAACCAATGCACTAAAAAACCCTACATTTTTCAACAATCGATCAAAATTTGATCGCTTGCTCCCTGTCTTACATTTTACCAAAATTAGATTACATGTTACTTTACTGCTAATATATTTTTGTGCCAATTCCGTAAATACAAAATTTTCTAAGAGAAATTCACTATCATACTCAATATAGAAACTCAATTTATAAATAAATAAAAAAAACTTATATGAAATGGATTTTAGAAACACACCCAAAGTCCATTTACAACATAACAAAAAAGCTTTTTAACTTCTTTGAAATTACAAAACTGCCATTGATTTCTTAAAACAAACTCAACCACAAAACCTCATAAAAAACCCCAAAACACTCAAGTATCAAAGTAATTTAATAATCAAAATTAAATTAAATAGGGTCAGCTGTCATTTTTTTGGATTTGTTTATAGAAATTAAATAATATAGGATTGATTTATAATTTTAGTGCTAAAAATGGATATATGACTAATATCTCATTTTGTAATCCATGAATCAAACATTTTCCAGAATTTTTTTTTAATAAAAAAAAAAGGTCAAACTATGATTATATTCTAAAAAAGAAAAATAATGAAGTAGCCGATATAATTGTTATCAAAATAAATTAAATGCCTCGTGCGGTGGGAAAGAGCCAACGCGCACCGTTTTTAAGGTCGTGAGTGAGTCAAGAAGTGTTTGTTGTCTAGAAGATGCAACGTCATTAGGCCCCACTCATTTGGCCTCTTTCTTTATATAAAACCCGTCCACGACACTAAGCTGACTCAGCGTCTACATGGAGATCAAATCCTCTGTGACGCAATATATAAAAGATAATTATCCTGGATATCTTGTTTTCTCCCACCAAAAAAAAAAAAAAAAAAAAAAAAGAAAAGGAAAAAAGAAGCAGCAGATTTGGTTGACAGCTAATTAATTGGTGGTTACGCGCCTATTTGCATGGCAAGGCCACAAGGTAGGAGGTGGTTGCTGTATTGTCCATCTCTCACTCACTCACTGAGACAAAAGGAGAGAGAGAGATATATATATATATATTAGAATTTGAATTAACAGATTTTCAGCGAAGGACTTGGTGACTCGGATTTTCAGTGCAAGGACTCACACACTCGGAATTCTCAGGGAAGGACTCTCCGGCCAATTATAAATACTTTCCATTCCCCCAAAACCGTTCATCATGCCTTCCTCCTCATCACCAACAGTATTTCTTCTTCTTCTTCACCTTTTTGTTAGATTATCGCTTTTCGGGATGACCATCCTTGTTGAGCACCCTGACTCTGGTAAAGTTTTACTTTTTATTTTTTGGGTTTTTTGCTGCATTACATTTTCTTGTTTTTCTTGTTCGACGTTGAATTCATTTTAATTAGCAGCGGTTGAGGTGGAAGAAAAGAAGGTCTCTGATCAGACGGGTGAGGAGAATGAATTGGTGTTGGATGGTGGATTTGTGGTGCCTCCAACAAACGCATTTGGCCACACTTTCAGGTCCCTTCTGTTCTTGTCATATTCTAGGCTGCATTCAATTATGATCATGAAACATTTTAATATACATTTTGCCTTTCCTTTCGGTTTCCAAAGAAGCTCAAGAAATGTCATATTCCCTTTCCCTTTATATTATATATCATCATTATTACGACTTATGTGAAGTTTATTCATCAAAATGCAGGGATTATGATGTTAACAGTGACCGGAGAGATGGGGTTGAGGAATTCTATCGAATCAACCACATTAACCAAAGTGTTGACTTTGTAAGCAAACAGCTGCCGATTAGATTTTCTTCAATTTGGAAAAGGTTATACTAATAATGATTAATTACAGGTGAAGCGGATGAGGGAAGAATCTGGCAAACTGGATAAGGTTATACTAATAATGATTAATTACAGGTGAAGCGGATGAGGGAAGAATATGGCAAACTGGATAAGGTGGAAATGAGCATATGGGAATGCTGTGAACTTCTTAATGAAGTTGTGGATGAGAGTGATCCTGACTTGGATGAGCCTCAGATTGAGCACCTCTTGCAGACTGCTGAAGCCATCAGAAAGGACTATCCTGATGAAGGCTGGCTGCATTTAACTGCCCTTATCCATGGTATATATACACATATACTAGTTTCTCATCATTTTGACTGCTCTTTATTCTTAGTTAATTTAATTATATGTTTCTCGAATTTGAGTCATATCAACCATGTTTATGCATTTGGTTCATTTTGATTTTTGCATATGTCACCTTGAGGATCAATTGCTTAAACTGTGTTTCCCATGAAAATTAGATCTTGGAAAGGTTCTTCATCTTCCTGCTTTTGGAGAGCTTCCTCAATGGGCTGTTGTGGGTGAGGATCATCTTCTTGTTTAATCTTTGGTTCAGATAATCTCTTCTCTCACCTCTGTTTCTATAATTATTCTGAAACTAACTGAAATAATCTATTAATTACAGGTGACACATACCCTGTCGGGTGTGCCTTTGATGAGTCAACTGTTCATCACAAGGTCTCTCTCAAATTTTGTACCAGGATCCACCTTTGGAATATGAAATGATTCAGTCCCCCAACTTCATTAATTTCTGAATCATTTTTCTGTGGATAGTCTCTAACTTCTGTCTGCCTGTCCTTGCAGCATTTCAAGAAAAATCCTGACTACAACAATCCTGCTTATAACACTAAGTATGGTATTTACTCCGAAGGTTGTGGACTCGACAATGTACTGATGTCATGGGGGCATGATGACTACATGTACTTGGTACATATTTGCCAAAACCATTCCAACTTCTGCATTGTTCATACACTATCATCCATGTACTTAGAACTAGGAAGGATATAGGACGGGAAATTGATAATTTACTATCTGAATTTACATATATATATATATACACACACACACACACAAGTCTTGCAATGGTAAACTTATTTATGTGTCCTGTCTCCAGGTGGCGAAGGAAAACAAAAGCACTCTCCCTTCAGCTGGTCTTTTCATTGTCAGATACCACTCATTTTATGGTACATTGTGAAATCAGCTAGCCCTTCAATTTGCTTTCAAATTAGTATTTAATCTTTATGGATCAAAATTACTTTGCAGCTTTACACAGGGCAGGAGCATATAAGCACTTGATGAATGAAGAGGACATTGAGAATTTGAAGTGGCTCAAAATATTCAAGTAAGGATATTCACTTCCCCATTTAAAAACACAGTAATGTAGTAAGACTATATGTCATTCCTACCATATTTTCGACATACTGCTTTGCCAAAATTTGATACAAGTCTAAAAATTAACTTTGCCATTCTATATGCAGCAAGTATGACCTTTACAGCAAGAGCAAAGTTCGCATTGATGTTGAGAAAGTGAAGCCCTACTATCTCTCTCTAATTGAGAAGGTAAAGACCAATTGTTCTTGTTATTGGAGCTGGATGGAAGGAAATTTTGCAAGTGCATGCACAAGATCCTGAAGTTCTCATTTCATTTAATTTCAAAATAGATCTTAAATGCCACATTGTTTTTTCTTTCTCTGTTCCTGGTGGTTAATTTTGACTATTCTGTTGCAGTACTTTCCCGCAAAGCTGAGATGGTGAACGGTGAAGTTGGGAGCTCTGAAGTTGGATCAGTAAAGAAATCAGATGGAGGTAGCAGCTGAATAAAAGGCGCGGATGTAGAACTTTCAATGTTCTTTTTTCTCTTTGTTCTTGTTTCCTTTTCTTTTACCCCTTTATGTTTGTTTTGTTATGAACTTATGAGGAGGTGCTTTACCTTTTCCCTGAGTTTGTATATAAAAATGCTACCTCTGCAGTTGCAGTTATTCCATTGCCGTTGTTCTATGCTTTTAAGCTTCAACTCGGTTTATGCAGAAATACTATAGTGTGCTTTTATATTAAAGATGTTATGATGCAGATGAAAATTAATAATAGTATTAGTTAGAACAGGACAGATGCCAACAACCAGAGTTTAACTGACGAGTGTTTAATCATTAACCAAGCAATTAAATCAGCAAATTAATGATCCAATTAACCAATAAACTGCCATAGTCTAAACTCGAAAGTGCACTTTCATCACTTGTCTATTTGTCATTATGCTAATCAATGAATGAATGATTATCTCTACTGCGCAAAGTCAAAACGCAACATCCGAACACAAAAGTGAAAGGATGCATTTTGCTTTTACCGGTTATGGCAAAGCATCCTTAAGTATTTGCTATCACTCTACAAAGGATGTTATTAAACAAACCCTAAAATTAACAGCACTCCTCTACAAATGAGCCGTAAAATATTGTCACGGTCAAACAAAGAGAACCATATATCTATTTGTACATCAGAAATTGTCTAAGAGAAAAACCTTAGTTCTAGTTAATGTTCTTCAATTTAAAATGAAATCAAAATTTTAAAAAATTCAGTTAGCCGGACTGATCAGTATATAGTTGTAGTAGTAAACTTGACTAGTTGTATTATTGGTATATATAAAGTCCATTTTCTTTAATACAATATATCAAATCGTCAATGAATGTAGTTGTAGTAGGTTGGGTGGATGGTGGGTGGATTTAGAGTTAGACGAGCCTTCTAAGTTAGGTGTGAACCTTGAATTTTATATCCCTCTAACCCATCTTTGTCCAACTTAACTTTTCTATGTCTACATAGAAAATGACCAATTTAATATAGTATATCATAGACGCAGAGAGCACTATTTGTCTTTTGCATTCTTCTCAGAGAATGAGATTGACATTACAGCTAAGCATTTTGTTGTGTGTTTTGTTTGGGGGCTTCCTTCCTTCTTACTCTCTGCTGCCGTTGTTGACCATGACCCTTGAATATGTTCCTATACTTAAACAGACACACTGTTGATACAATTCCATAGGTTTCCTGAGAAAACGGTTTGATTGTTTGATTCAGCATTGGTCTTTTTCACTTCTTGTCATGGTGAGCTCTGTTTCAGACATATTGGCAAACAGAAGTTGGGCAATTTGTAGTCAAAACTTGTAATTTTTTGGACCGGAAGTTTTCTTTTGATTTCCTACGAATTGGGTTTCTCAGTTTTTGGTATTTCATTAATTGGGTTTTTGTTTGATTTTTCATACCTCTCCCCGTTTATGAGATTTTGGGTTTAGAGAGTTTGCTTGGAGCTCGTATACCATCTGTTAATATAGTTGAATCTGAATTGTTGGAATTTTGAATTGATCCTTGCACCCTGGTGATTTTGGGTTGCTGGGTTATTAAAAGTCTATCCATTTTTGCCTTGTAAGCTTGAGGGATGAAAGGAAAGTTTGGAACACCAGGAAGTTACTTTGTGTTAAACACAGGAGATATAATTCCAGCCATTGGACTTGGGACATGGCAGAGTGGAGGAGATCTTTGTGTTCAAGCCGTAAAAACGGCATTATCAGTAGGCTACCGTCACATAGATTGTGCACATCTTTATGGTAACGAGATCGAAGTTGGGGAAGCTTTAGCTGAAGCATTTAAGGGTTCACTGAAGAGGGAAGACGTTTTCTTGACTTCTAAACTCTACTGTACAATGAATTCTCTCAATAAAATTGAGAATTATGTTAGAGTTTCTCTTAAGAACCTTGGAGTTTCGTATTTGGATCTGTATTTGATGCATTGGCCTGACAGCTCAGCGTTTGGTGATGCCACTGATCCTCCTTCAAAGTCTGGGAGCGAGTATAGGCAATTCTTGAATCGGTTGAAGAAAGCATGGAAAGCTATGGAAGGTCTGGTTGAGTTGGGTCTGGTTAGAGCTATTGGGGTCAGCAATTTCAGTGTTCCGCAAATCAAACAACTGCTCAAGTTTGCAAAAATTGTACCTGCAGTCAATCAGGTTGGCTTTCGGTAAATCATTCTTGCTATTTTTCAATAATTCAGCATCAAAATTGGTCTTCAATTAGTTGTTGATAAATTGGCTTTCACGTCCCTTCTTTAATCATATTATCCATTATATTGATCGAAGGGCTAAATATGTTAGAGTAAATAAGTGACTTAATATAGTAACAGTTGATGAGAAAATTCATTGGATAGAAGGTTTTTTGTCTTCAATTTTCTCTGTAGTCTACTCACATGAGCAAAGCATCTCATTTATTTGGCTGACCTAATAATTTGCAAGTATTGGACGCTGGGATTCAATGCAATATGAAGGAACCTGCATTAATATAACAGTTGCATAAACATTACCTCTACTGAAGCAGCCCATTTATGTCATACTCAGGTTGTTGTTGCTATATGTATGCAAATGTGAAATGCAAAAACTCATCATTTGAATCAGATGAATCTTACAGTCATTTCTGTTGGTAAGCTGATTAAGAAGTGGCCTACCAGCACAGATTTGGCTCTAAAAACAGCCCACCATTGCACTGTTCTTACATGATTCTGAGCTTAAGACTTAATTTTGCTCGTTAGATATTTGAACTTTGTTTGATATGTTCATATATCTTTGCACCGATGCTACAATTGTTCTCCAAACTAGTTGAATCAAATTTGATCAAAAGAGACTGAGTTGTAGGACTATTACCTCTCGTCTCTTCCTTTCTGACTCAGTGTTGACATTAGAAACCAATTATGAAGCACAGTTAGTGCAGATTCTCTATGATGTATCGTAATACCCACCTCTTTTCTTGTATTGTTTGCTAGATTGTAACTATCATCAATGTAGGTTGTTAGGACCCAGTGTTGAATCTGCTTAAATTCTTCGGGAAAATAAGAATGTTTTGTGGCTTCTGCTGCCCTTTTTTTTTCTTTAAGACTGAAATTTCTCCTTGGTGATCACAGTATGACATAATTCAGGTTCCTTAATTGATTTATGATTAAATTTTAGGTGGAGTTGCACCCCTTTTGGAGGCAAGATGAACTTGTAAAGTTCTGTCAATTGAAAGGTATCCATGTATCTGCTCACACACCCTTAGGAGTCCCAACCTCGACTCCTGGACCATCTGATAGCAGTTCAGGTGGGGAAGATGAACCTGGAACTCCTCGCATATCATTCAGGAGGTCAAAGTCTGTGCATGGGCCTATGCTAAAATTATCAACAGTTGCAGAGATAGCAGACAGACACAGAAAAACACCTGAGCAGGTACTTTAGATTCCACAAGCTTCTTTTCTTTTTCATACTACTCATATCCTCCAAGCTATATACTATTGAGTAGCATAATCTCATCCAAGCTATGATACCAGAAATAGAAGTACCATTCATATTTTGCATAATTTGCATATCCCTGTGATTGCAAAACCAAGTAGGCTTCTATAAATTGCCTAAAGTCTGAAGTTTCACCAGTATCCTAAACCTTTGCTCTACACCCATAAACTAATGTCCAGGGCTCAAATCACTATATATACAGAGAGCTTCCATTGAGGGACTGTATATATATATATATATATATATATATATATATATTTATTTATTTATTTATTTATTATTATTATTACCTCAATAATAAAAGGTTCAGATATGAGCCCATAGTTTATAATTTCTTCCACTATCTGACTGTAACCAAGGTACACTTGCATTTATCAACTATCCCATTATCAAATGGTTAACCATTTAACACCAAATGCAAGTTGTTGAAATGGCATACATATGCTCAAGAGTATAGCAATCCCCTAGTGGTTAATTATTATTACCTCGATAATAAAAGGTTCAGATATGAGCCCATAGTTTATAATTTCTTCCACTATCTGACTGTAACCAAGGTACACTTGCATTTATCAACTATCCCATTATCAAATGGTTAACCATTTAACACCAAATGCAAGTTGTTGAAATGGCATACATATGCTCAAGAGTATAGCAATCCCCTAGTGGTTAAGCATTGGCACAAACAAGTGCTCATACTCATGATGAGTAGTGAAGATATGACTTCAACTTAGTAGTGTTGAAGTTATAGCAATCTGAAAGTTGCTAAACTCGCAAACCCTAAAACTTTGAGGTGATGCATGACTGATTGCCCTGGTCCTAATTCAGATGGAGGATTGTTGATTTCAGGACTACAATTTGAGGGTCATGGTTAACGTAAAAAGACTTGGCTGCATTTGATTGCGGTAAAAGTTTCTTCTAAGTCTAAACTGTGAGGTTTAGGTAAATTCTAAATAACAGAACACAAAATATGATTCATGGTTCATGATTGAAGTGGTGCTTGTCACATAACAAACTCTAAAACTTATAAGTGACATTAGTTAGTCTCAAACTCTCAATGCAGCTGCAGCTGCAGCTGCTTCTACCCCAAAGAACCTACTAATTTGTGCTTCAGTTGAGTCAATCTTCCCCCTCAAGAAGCTTTCATCAGCTTTTCAGCCACCAATTATATAGCCAGTCATTGTCATATAGGTTTTTTTGTTTTTTCGGTCTTTGAGAGATCTTGTTTCAAGGAAGGAATCAATCACTTGAGTATTGGGTAAATGGATGTGCTATCGATATTGAAAAGTCTCCATTGTGATTGACATATCTTTTAGGGTTGGAAACTTATCATCTAGTTTGAAGCCTTTGAAATGTAAATAGAATGGAAAGCACTGGTCTAGGATAAAGGATCTAAATCTTACCAAAAGTTGAGATGATCCTGTAGTTTCTTGCAGTGGTCCAAAACCATTAAAAATATAAAGATGGTGATCCGGGTAGTGGGCAACTCTACACTTCTTACCCATGTAATTGCACTTGTATATTCAAATTGTAGAGGAACATAATCATACAGGATTGTGTATTGGAGATAAAACTTATTATAGCAATGATCATAGTAAAAGTCGAGAATAGAGACGTAACCATTTATAATAATTATGCAAGATTAAGGAAAAACTCATGGCCACTAATTTATGCCTTCTGCAAATTATTTTTAGATTAATATATTA